GGAAAGAAATAGGGGTTATTTTGCCAGTTCCTTTCTCTGAGATCTAGCCTTCATTGGTAGTCTCTAGTCCAAATATTAACCAAAGCTTCCAAGATCAAACATAACCTGGTTCCTTTAGCATATTTAGACCATCCAACTAGGGATGCCAGCAAATAAATGATATTTTCTCACTTTCAGAGAAAAAAATTGGCATGTGTGCTTCCATTTGTCAGTGCCCTTCCTAGGGATATTAGATCGGCCCCCTCCCTCCTAACATCTAACCTGACTTTTCAAGCAAGCATTTGCAAATGCAATGTAACAGGCAAATATAGATCTATGGAATGACTGGATGATGCAAATTGGAAAATTATTTTAGTAAGGAGACTGAGGATTTATGTTTTTATTGGTTTTGTATGGTTTTTATATTATATGCTAAATGTTTTTAATTGTATTTTATGTTGTTGGGGGCATCGAATTGTGCTGACTGTAAACTGCCTTGAGTCTCTTTTGGGCTGAGAAAGGCGGTATATAAATATGGTAAATAAATAAATACATACATATATCTTGAGATTTAAAAATAGGCTTTGATACAGACATCTCCATTCATATTGCTTTTTTAAAAAGGGGGGATATTATAACAGCATTCTAGATTGTACTTCTATAGTAGGTATGGGCAAGGGCAAACTTCGGCCCTCCAGACATTTTGAACTTCAACTCCCACAATTCCTAACAGCCTTCTGGCTGTTAGGAATTGTGGGAGCTGAAGTCCTAAACACCTAAAGGGCCGAAGTTTGCCCATGCCTGTTCTATGGTTATTCTGATGCCCCATCTGGTTCCATACCAAGCTCTGCATTGCAATCTTAACACCATTCATATAGAAACTGGAACATAGTGGAGCACTAACGGGTCTTGCCAAAACAAAGATTTCAACTAGCCAGCCCACTTATTTTTATTTATTTATTTATTTATTTATTTGACTTGTATACTGCCACTCCCAATTTGGCTCGGAGCGGTTTACAGCAGTAGATTAAAACAATACAACCAACTTTAAAATACAATAAAAATGTGAAACAGACATAGTCCCAAGTTATTCACCCATCAAAAGCTTGTCGGAAAAGAAAGGTTTTACAGGCTTTCCGAAAAGCGGGTCATTCCATTCCATTTTCCCTATTCTGTCTTTTATTGTCCTTGCTTCTAGAGGGCAGCACTCCATTGCCACTGGGCATGGTTTGGAGAGTATGGGGGCTGAATCTCACATGTCCTCCCACCCCAAGTCAACCAAGCTTGCTTTGGAAAAGCTCATAGCTTTAAGGAATTCTTCCCCATTAGGATTTTTAAAAATCTTGGTAGTTCTGGAAAACTTGATATTTTCAGAGAACTGCAGACTTCTTTTGTGTGATGGTAATCTAGGAAATGGTACTGGGAAATTAATTTCTGTTCTGTTCGGTTCAGATAGTTTGAATCAAGAGGTGCACCCAATCAGTCAAATGGCTAATAAGATAGTAAGAATCCAGCTTGCACTGGCTGGAGTTACATTGCCCTTAAAGTGTGAAGTTCACATTTTTGGTATACTCCTGAGCCCAAATATTCTGGTGGCAAGGAATGCATTTGCATTGTTAAAATGAGTGTGCCAGGCGAACATGTTCATGGAAATGTCAAATCTGAGTTATAAATCTTGATTCCTGGGTTGCTGTGAGTTTTTGGGCAGTATGGCCATGTTCTAGAAACATTCTCTCCTGACTTTTTGCCCACATTTATTATTTATTTACTTACTTACTTCACTTGTGTACCACTTTTCTTACCTGGGGGGGGGACGGACTCAAAGCAGTTTCCAACATATTCATGACAAAATTGAATGCCTCACATACATATGAAACCTAAAATAAAACAACAATATTCTATAAATATCAATTAGATCATTAAAATGTCATCTATGGCAGGCATCTCACAACCTCTGAGGATGCCTACCATAAATGTGGGCAAAACATCAGGAGGGAATGCTTCTGGAACATAGCCATACAGCCCAGAAAACTCACAGCAATCCACTGATTCCAGCCATGAAAGCCTTTGACAACTCTATCTTGATTCCATTTGGATTACTGTTATGGCGCTTAGAAACTTGGAAGGTTCAAAATGCTCCTGGTAATCCACAGACTAGAGCTGGTGACATGGACCACTGAGCCGCCTTAGTGCAACAATTTCTCTGGCTATTGGTTCATATCCAGGCATATTGAGAGTGCTGATTATGGCCTATAAACCCTACACAACCTGGAATCAGACCATCTATAACCCTGATTCAGTTTTAATATTGTCAAGGGAGAGCTTGTCTCCGTCCCACCACTGTCACTGGCATGTCTGGTGAATCTACATGAGAGGCCTTCTCAGTGGCTGCTCCCAGACTGTGGAACACTCTCCCATGGGAGGCCAGCCTAGTCCCCTCTCTCTATTCATTTCACTAGTAAAAAACAAAACATCCCTTTTCATTTGGGTAGGTTTGTGTTGCAGAAAGTTCTTTTAATGGCATGTGTGCTATATTTTATTCCCACACTTATGTTTTAAATTAGTACTGTATTTTATAGAACAATGTATTCGCACATTTTAAACTTTTTAAACTATTTTATTGTAAGTGTTCTTTATTTTAATCTATTCTCTGTGCTGCCTTAAGTCCCCAGAGGGGGACTCAAGGTGGTTTGCAACATATTAATGGCAAAAATTCAATGCCATATACATATACAAAGAAAAAAATGTATTAACTGAACACTAACCTATAACTATAAATTAAAACCATTAAAACCATTAAACATAAGATGTAAACAATGTTAAAACATTAAAACAAAGATTAAAACATCTTAGTATAAATTTAAAAATTGCATGAACCAAAAATCGTACACTGTAGCCATTCCAATTGTCATTGCAGATATTTCCTAACTATTCTTTGTACTTCATTATTTTACTGGCCAAGTACAGATACATAGATCATATAAATATGATTTATTCCAGAATATTTGTGGTATTTTCCTCAGAGATTTAATAGATTTTAAGAGAAGATTTGCAGCCTAGGGCTGTTATAATGGTTTTGGACAGGCAAAGATATATTCAAACACTCATAGGTAAAAGTGAATTCTATTGAAATCAAGAGTATTTACTTCTAAATAAGACAACAAAAATCATTAAATCTTTCCAAGTGTTTGTCTGTCTGTCTGTCTGTCTGTCTGTCTGTCTGTCTGTCTATCTATCTATCTATCTATCTATCTATCTATCTATCTATCTATCTATCTATCTATCTTCATATTTTCTGCTCATTCTGCTCATTTATTCTGCTCATTTCCAGAACATATTGCTAAATACCTGTAGGGGAGAAAGATGATCTTAGCCCTGCAGTCTTGTGTTTTCTGTCGTCCCCTCCAGAGTCACAACACCTCTTCCCAGTACCTTTTATCTAGCAGAGCAGATGGCTCACATCATTATTCACAGCCTGTTTTGTGGCAAACATATGACAGTACAGAAGTGCAGCAAGAGATTATACCTACAACAAATGCAACACAATTGCAAAACACTGATAAGTCTATAATAAATATGGGTTTTGTTACTATTGTGCTATAAAGAACAGGCTTTTCATAACTGCAGGTAATGCTATGTTGTTCGTTTAATGTAATTGTTCTCTTTTGACTTGATCCTGCAAGAAGGATACTTAGTATTTCCTAAATGCTTGCTCTTGTTTTTATACAGCCACTGTCCTTTTAAAAACAGCATTATAAATTAAATGACTAAAAGTTAGAAATTAAACACAGACATTTGCCAACAGAAAGCATAATGTGCACAATCCATCATAATCTGGATTATATGGAAGTGTAGAAGAGACTATAGAGACCATCCACACTGCAGAATTGTAATAGAATTAAGGAATCCTGGCATTTGTAGTTTGTTGCTAAAAAAAAGGTAAACATTTCACAAAGCTACAAACTCCAGAATTGCATAGCACTGGACCATGGCAGTTAATGTGGTGCCAAACTGCTATAGAACCATAGAACTGGAAACCAGAAGAGCATCCAGTCCAATCTCCTACCGTGCAGGAACACACAATTAAAACACTTCTGACAAATGGCCCAGTGTGGATACAGACAGGTTGTGGTGTGCTCAGATTGCCTTTTTATTATTCCAACTGCTAAATAACCTCTTTCTCTGCTCCAAGACAATATACACTGCTTCCATGATCTATCACTTCATCCAAGCCTGTCATTCCATTTTATTTTATCATAAACAACCATTATATTATTCCAAAATATTTTTGGTAGTTTGAGAGTTCCCTCCGAGAATTTTGTGACTCTTATGAATTCATCCAGTAACAAGTTGTGTTTTGTTCAACTGTGTTACAGTAAGACGTAGCAGGATCAATTGTGTGTTAAAGAAAAACCTCATGATGTTAATTATTATGTGCAGCTGGTAATGTAGGTCAGCCAGCATGTTTGGGCCACACCCAATGAGGTATAACTGTATGGATTTTAGAATACAGTTTGGAGAAGCAATACACTACTCTGAGGAGGAGAAGAAATATGCTATAATGTTGCTATGTTCTAACAGCGATGCTCTTTGCTATGGTGGAATAGGTATTTACTCAAGGTTTATGTATTTCTCTCTCATTTGAATGAAGATGAAGAAGCCATATTCTGTGTTACTTACAAGGACAATGTAAGCTTGTTGCACTGTTTGATTTTGTATGCAACACTGCAAGTTTATGCCTCTGCTGATAAAAGCAAAGTTTTTCTGTTCCTTTTCCCTCTTGCCTGTGTGTCTTTTGCATAGGGCTTGGCTAAAATCCACTTTGCGCAACCAACAGGATGTACTCTTGCAGCTCTTATTTTCCAGGGCTGCTCCACATTTTATGTCATTATTGGAGGCCCTAAAAACAGAATAAAAGAAAATATTTACGTAAACCCATGGGATGTGGTTTTGAGCAATAAAGATACAGTTTTGATCATTACATATATTTCCAACTAAAATAATCTTGTCCTCTTTCCCAGCAGGGGAGCAATCTGGAAACAACCACGAGGAAGCCAGACTACAACATGCCAGCAAACAGATAGTGCATACTGCCATTCAGCAAGCTGTCCAGCAGTTCTCCCAAGAGAGCCAGCGAAAGGAGAAATGCACAAACAGTAGTGTGAACTTGCAGCTTGAACAAGGGCAATTAACTAAGAAGCACGAGAAGAAGTAAACTCCTACTACTTCTGAATCCCCTTTTCTGGAGTACTTCTGCCTTCATGATACTTCAGTTGTATCGCCAGTGTAACTCTACTAGGAAAAAGCAAACCAAAGTATAACTTGGCTGTAGAGGTAGATATATAAAGTTGCAATAGTTCTCAGCTGAGAAATAATGTCTTAAGAACATTAGGTCATGTAACGTGATATTTATGCAGTGCCTCTCACACAAGTAACGAAAGAATGCCATGGCAATGAAGTATTGTCAAGCACAATTTCTTCCTAGGCTATAGCTCTATATTCAAAATGCCCCTGTATTTCTGTGTATAAACCAATGTCTAGATAACTAGTGGACGCTTCTTTCAATGTTCTAGGAGGCCATTGAATGACACACAGAAGTATATGTGAGGTGATGTGTTTTCTGACTCCGTGATGCCTACTCTTGTACAAAGTAAGAATTGCAACATGCAGAATGGCCACAATGAAATAGAAGTGGAAACATCTGTGAATGGATTTTTTATTAACATGGTGACCCTCAGTCCAACAAAGAGTAAAGCTTGCTTCAACGCATATTTCAATTCTCACTCTTTTGAACTATCTATCTATATACCTACTTACCTATCATTTTTATTTCATAGGCACAATTTAGAGAAAGTTGATATTATAGTTGCAATTTTGAACTCACCTGTGAGTAAATTCCCCAGGCTGAAGTCTAACATCTGAATAGACATGTCTTGCTAATCCTGTAAAATCATGAGAACATAAACCTCTTACCTCTGCAGTTCAGTGCCATTTCTTTCAACTGGCACTGTGTGCTCCAAATGGGCTCTGGATTCTGCTTTTTACATTGCTTTTTCAATTTTTTTACCTAGAAAATGTAACAAATACCTTTAAAAAACCAAAATAATATAAAGCCCCACTTTGTGAAATGAGAATATGATAACGACATAACCAAGACTTGAGATTCCCCTTTAATAAGAGCAGAAATGCACCAGTGTAAAATTAATTTCAATGTCTGCAATCAAGCAAATCTGAATATACTCATGGAAGTCTATGTACATTGGGATTCCCCTTCCATGCACACTGCTTGGCATCTAAGGAGAAAACTATAGTAGAAGAAAAGGGGTTCTAATGGGTACATAGTTTTTGGCTTATGCTCAATACATTCACAACCCCCGGTGGTGCAGTGGGTTAAACCATTGAGCTGCTGAACTTGCTGACCAAAAAGGTGGCAGTTCAAATTTGGAGAGCAGGGTGAGCTCCCCATGTTAGCCTCAGCTTCTGCCAACCTAGCAGTTTGAAAACATGCAAATAGGTACCACTCTGGCAGGAAGATAATGGTGCTCCATGCCATCATGCTGGCCCAAGATGTAGGAGGTGTCTATGGACAACCCCAGCTCTTCGGCTTAGAAATGGAGATGAGCACCACCACCCCAGAGTCAGATGTGACTAGACTTAATGCCAGGGGAAAACCTTTACCTTTACCTCCATACATTCAAATGATAGAGGAAGACTGCCATTTCCTTTATTCAGAGCTTTATATATTATTTTGATCAGTGTGAACCTTCCAAGCTTTTATACATATTCTTAATGGTAATTCTTGCTGTTTAAAAACAACCGCATATGAAAGCACACCCAAAATGCTGCTGAGATTCTTTTTAACACTTCTGAATAAACATAATAAGTTATCAACTAAACATATCTCAAAATATCTCTGTTTATCTTGTACACTTTGGGGGAGGAGAGAACATGAAGAAATTAAACTAGGAATGAAATGGTTTACATTACGGCTTTTACGTTTAATTAATTTAGATCTTTTCTTTGATTAAAATTCACACCATTCCATATACACGCTTTTCTTTTAAAAATTATCTTTATTTAGGAAACTTATTTTCTACCTACTACTACTTACTACTTACAACAGTCCATATACATGCTTTTCAAAGGGTAGAACATGTATGCATAGCTCATAGAAGAACCTATTACTCTTGATGTGGTGCATCTGTTACCAAGTACATATAAAAACACCACATCAGAGACAAGCATTTCTTCTGTGAATAGCATGGCTATATTAACTTTATCTGTACCTTTCATACTTGGAAGAGAACTACAATGAGGCAAGAGGAATTGTGATATTTCTGTAAGGAATTCTGTTTCAGGATTTATGTTGTACTTAAGTCATTTGTCTGTTTCTGTTTTTTCTACTATGTCAGCCCAGGATTGGCTCTTATCAGGACTACAAGGAATGAGCTACTCTGGATACGTGTGAGGGAACTAATAGAGCTCTGTGGTGTAGACATTTTCCCTAGGGTGAATGTTTATCTCTGTGTGTTGGCCAGGAATGGTGTCATCTGGGAAGAAACTAACTATGTTCAAAGTATTTCATTTCTGTTTATGTTTAAATTCTGCACGTGTTGGAAATGTTTGGGTGTTTCTCTAAAACTGCAAATGGCTTACACCAACAAATAGCTGAATGCGTTATTTGGCATTACTAGACTTATCTCGTAGCATCTTCTAAAATTTGTTCATGGAAATTGGCATGACATTTACCCCCAGAAGCATCTGACAAGTGCTGTATCATTTCAATATGTCTGCAATAAGAAGGTTAAGAACAACTGGTGAGACTCATGACATTTAAATGGGAAAAAATGTATGTATTTCAACATCTGTAACAAAGTCAGTGATATAGCAGTTAACAACATTATCAGTTGCAGTGCCCTGATTGTAGGATGCCCTTTTGTTCAAGGTCTGACTGACACTTATGTCAATTTCTTTTTTGTGCCAAGCCAAAACACCTTCTTTTAAATTAGTGGTTCTTAACCTGTGGGCCGCGGGCCATGAGGATGAAGATCTGGTCTGCGAGCCTCCTTCCTCTTTATTTAATTTATTTAATTTCTGCTCCATCCGCGTGCCACTACTTCCCTGTTGTTAACCAACAACAACAACAAAACTTTATTATGGTCACTGACCAGCACAAAATTATTGCTGACCAGCCCAACCCCTTGGATAGACCACATCAGCTCTAGAATATTAAATACGGTTTTCTGTGGGTGAGCAGATGACAACTACTGGATGGCATATGTTCTGTATCAGAAATTAGAGTTGATGTGGTCTATCCAATGCAATTTTCTGAATCCGCACCCCAAATATTCAAACTGAATCTAAAGTTGACCAAAAACCGATTTGTAACCCTTTTGGTACTGATATTGGAGAGTGGTCTCTGGTCGAAGTGGTCCCTATTCAAGTGGTCCCTGGTCAAAAAAAGGTTGGGAACTACTGTTTTAAATATATGCATAAATAGTTTAAAACTGTTATAGCTTTTAGACCTGTTTTCACTTTTTAGTGTGTTTTATCTTTTTAAACTTACTTATAGTTTTAATTCTGAAATGTCCTAAGGTCACATAATAAATGGGTTGCTGTGAGTTTTCCGGGCTGTATAGCCATGTTCCAGAAGGATTATCTCCTGACTTTTCACCCATATCTGTAGCAGGCATCCTCAGGGCCCTTCCACACAGCCCTATATCCTAGAATATCAAGCCAGAAAATCCCACAATATCTGCTTTGAACAGGGTTATCTGAGTACACACTCAGATAATGTAGGTTTTTCTGCCTTGGTATTCTGGGATATAGGACTGTGTGGAAGGGCCCTCAGAGGTGAGGTCTGTTGGAAACTAGGCAGGTGAGATTTATATATCTGTGGAATGTCCAGGGTGGAAGAAAGAACTCTTGTCTGCTAGAGGCAAGTGTGAATGTTGCAATTGGCCACCTCGATTATCATTTAATGGCCTTGCATGAAAGCCTTCAACAACACATAATAAATGATGGCCATAAATATTTCGACAAATAAAGAAACAAGCAAACATCCTTTCAATTTGCAGTACTGTATAACATAAATCCCTCAAACAGCACAAAATAAGAATCAGTACCCAAAAGATTGAATATTACGTCTTTAAAAAATTACTAAACTCCACTAGCATGTTTATCACATATTCTTAGCTATGAAAATAAAGACCTAGAACTGGGATGGGAATTATGTGGCCCTCCAAATGCTGTTGAACTGAGACTCCCAGCAGGCCTAGGTAGCATAGGAGATGGTGGAAGGGATTGGAGTTGTAATCCAACCACATCTAGATGGTCTCTTCTCATCCTTGAATTATTGGAATATAATTGAAGAAACTTTCTACAAGATGTGAAATTGGAACTGCCATTTTTCCTCCAACTTGTGTTTATCACATTGATACTAGTTTGTCTGCTGTCGTTGCTATAGAGCTACAAACTGAGTAATAGTGAAATGATTTCTTTTTTAAAAGCCACCACACAATAGCAACAGGTGAATGAATATATTTGGCATGGTGGGCTCACTCAATGATAAGCCTTGAGTATATCATTGGGACTAAGGAGTGTATTTCATCATTTTTGTCAGATAAAAAGCATGAAGTACAGTACGAAGTCAACAACATAACCCTGCTGTGCATGCTTTGTTACCAAGGTTCTAATTTTAGAGAAATGTGAGAACCCTGAAGGAACCAAACATTCTGAAGAACATTTAAATAATTAAGGAAGTGATGATCTAACAGCTATTTTTGGTTGCACCATTTTTTCCCTTTGGTACAGTGAAATATAGGAAAGAGTGTGATTTTCCTTCTGTGTCTCCAGTGCAGCTGAAGGATGACTCATTGAAAAATGCAGGTTGTAGAATTACTTTCTGTTTCTATTATGAGCACTTTAGCATGCAATCAGTTGCGCCTAAAATATGATCAAATTCAGCAGTTGGCTAGAAACTAATATTTATTCTCAGATCTCAGATGGCAGGGGGTATCCTAACCTTTTACATTTCACGTGTGGCTGATTTATGAAGTGTGATGGGCACTTAGAGTTAAAACCAATACTGTTCCATGTGTAAAAACTGCAGAGATGATGCTACAAAAGGCTATGACTGCATAGGAATTTATAAATTCAGGTGCAGTAAAAGGGTCTTACTTGATTCTGAATAAATCTGATTTGAATTGACCAGTTGAAGCGACAGATTAAGACAGACACTGCAATTAAGGGAGTCAATGTGTTGGGTTTAGTAATGGAGTGGTTGACTGTAGGACATCCTCAATGTCATTTTAGGCACTTCCTTCATGTCTTTCATCATCAGAGTATGGCAGATGATTAGAGACTGAACCTTCTGAGTAGTGGCATTCCTTAGTATGCATGCCATCTTGCATTTCACACATTAAAATAATGACACGGATGGCCAAGCAACATCAGAGTGAGGTCACAGTGGCAAAAGTTATTGATGATTAAGGCCTCTCCTGGACAGATCCTATACCCCAGGATCTGATCCCAGGTTTTCTGCTTTATACTGGATTATAGGAGTCTGCACTGCCAGATAATCTGGGATAAACAGAAAACCTGCAATCAGATCCTGGGATATAGGGCCTGTCTGGAAGGGCCCTTAGAGTACAAAAGTTAGGAGAGGATGCAAAAGTTTGCTTCTGACTGAGATTACAGGAAAATGCAAAACCCCACCCACAGTAGTTTGAATTGTTTGCAATAGTTGAAGTGAGCTAAGGATAAGGAGG